AAACAAGGTCCAAAGCTTTGTAGAATTCGTCTGAGCGGCGAACAGGAGGCTGGGTTTCGTCACTCAATGGAGTCGCCAACGGCCCAGGTGTTGCAGTCGCGTCATTCGTACCCGAGTCATCCACTTCCCATTTTTCTTGCGGAGCTTGTAAATCTGCTTCCGCTTCGTCAGGATCCTTCAACATCTCATCATTACTACCACTCATAGCCTTCATTTCATCAGGTTCAGCAGTTGATTTCTTCTTCTCTCCCTCCTCTTGGTTAGCGGCCAGCAATACTACGTCATTTTGGCGCGTAGGAATCTCTACGTCCTTTTTCGGGGACGTTTGAGTCTCCACAGCGATTGGACTCGTACTAGCTGGAACTGCTGAGGGAACTGTAGTGGACGGAGCTGTAGTAGCAGGTTCAGGTGCTTCGGTCGGACTCTCGTTACCAACCAGTGCAGCAACATTTTCCGGGGCTGCGTCAGCGGCGTGTTCATCTTCACGTGCGCCAATCTCTCCAGCAGCTCCCTGCTGCTCTAATTCTCTCGGTGTTTCGACTTGCTCTGCCCCCGTTGTTACCTCTTCTTCTGGTTTCTGTATGGGCCAGCCTTCCTCTGGTTCGTTCGGATCTTTCGCTGTCGTCTCCAGTTTAATGGGGCCAGTCTCCACCACTTTCTGGTGGTGTAACACTCGTTGCTGCTCTTGGACCTCGTCGTGGTGAGTGGGCGGTTTGGGTGCCAATCCAACAACGAAGGAGCCGAGGACAGTGATGGCGTAGCACCCCAGCACCACGTAGAAGAGCAGCCACCAGCGCGTGTGCCAGCGCTGAGTGGGGGCAGCTGTGGCGGTGCTAGAAGCGGACACCATTGGCGTGCGGCGGTCGTCGGGCGAGTAGGACGGGAGAGCGGACGACGCGGGGCGGCGCATGCTGCTGATCAATTGCGTAGTGAGCGCCGCGTACGTGGAGCACCGCTACCCACGCCCACTGCAGTCACTCGATGAGCAAGTGCTGTGCTAGCCACATCGTGGGGAAGGTGCGAGAGAGGAGTTCACACGAGAGGCTGTGAAAAATGATACTACAGTTTTGGACGAATCAGAGAGGAAATTAAAACTAAACCTGTAGGACTATATTCCCTGTTGTATATGCTTCACACCTAACCGTTGTAGATGGTGCTTGGGATTGGCGGCGTTCGATCGTGTGACGTGTTCACAGGTCAAAAGGTGCTCACTCCCCGCTTGACGTCGTCCAACTTTTAAGAGTTGACACAATTCTTGTGATTCGTCAAGGCGAATATGTACGCAGTCTTGAAGGCGCTTGGATAGTTCATCGTGAACCAGCTCGCCGCTATTGCAACTCTGCGACGCCGATGCGGTAAATGATAGTCACCAAGCATTCAACAATCAGGTACGATGCGCGAGTAGTGACGAGCGCAGGTAATGGCATCTGTCGAGATCGCACGCTGCGTTCTACCAGACGACAATCCGGTGCACTGGCCGCCAGCCTGGCCGCCAGCGGGTGATGGAGGAAACTGGCTGGTCTCACGTGGCACCGCATATGCGTCAAATGTATCTACAAGTTCATTCAGTTAAATACCCGCTATGTGCTGCGTCATACTCTCCTTTGCCTGCGCAGGCGCTGCAGTAGGCTGTTGGTGGTTCCCTCTTCCTTCTTGATTGTATGCTGGGCGGACCTCCTCGACTGGCTTATGATTCCGGTATGTTTGGCTCGCTGTATCCACGTTGCTCCGAATACGCTGTTGCTCTTTGACACGAGAGGGACTCGCGACAGGAACAGCGATCGCGTCATCCCCCTTCTCCGGATGCCGGACCGCAGCGGTTGGCCTCGCTGCAGAGGCGTACTTCTTTGGGGCTGTGGGAATCATGCCTTCTTGTTGTCGCTCCTGAGCTTCAGTGTGGCCATCATTCGTCTTGATAAGGTCAGCTGAAAGTGTCTTCACCTGACCAATGTATTTGCCTCGCACTGGACCTGCAGGCTTGGCGTTTTCAGTTTGATCAACAGGAAAGTCATCGCGCTGATCGTCCGGGTGTACAGCATCTCCTGGAGCGTCATTAATCGCCTTTTGCGCGTTCTGGTGCTTTGCCCCCGCCTCTCGCTCTGTTTGTGGCTCCGTCGCTTGCGCTTCCTCCATTTCTGCAGTCGCAATTTCAGTCTGAATTTCAGCAACGGGTACCGCTATCAGTGGGTCATCTTTCTCGTGCGGATTCAGTTCAGCAACTCCTAGCACCACAGTAGCAGAGGGAGGTGCAGCCGTCGGCTCCATTTTCTTCGCGTCGACTGCTCTACCCACTCGTACGTTGCTCCTACCGCGAGGACGCAGCGAGTGCACGAAGAAATTCTGGCTGCTCTGTTCTGAACCCACTGCTCGGCCAATGTTAGCTATGTCGTCCGCGAAGTAGATGGCACCGAAATACAATAGCACGCATAGCACGAAGCACGCGCGCAACTGCAGAGAGCTGATCTTACGCGACCGGTCACCCTCCGCGTAGCGCTTGGCAAAGACCCGCTGGGCGCGAGGGTGCGTCTCGCGCAGCGAGTATCCCACTGGCCGACTACCAGCGTGCACCGTCGGAATGCGAACGTACTGGGGGGCGGCGTCCACGACACCGCGCTGCTTCCGGTGGAGTGCCATCTTTGCCAATTGTCTCGATAGGAATCGACTGAACCGTTCAGGTTACAGTGGTGCACCTCGTATTTGGTTAGGGTGAACAGTATCGTAAT